TTAGTCATATTGGATACAATTTAACCAAAATTGGGAGACTCACATTATAAGTGATTTGAATGTTTGAATATGGTTGCCTAGTCAAGTAACTTATATAGTTATTTGTTTAGTTCTAGTTTTAAAGACCTAAATACGACACTTGGATTTCAATGTAGTTGTATATTAATACTATACAAAGGCAATGGTAAAGAACTAAGTATATTCATATCAAAGGCTCATGATATCACCGTTTATCAGTAGTTAACATTGTTTAGGTTTTTGAAAAGCTAACAACTATCACTTAGAAATCTGTTGTTACAAAGTTCAACAACTTAAATCGATATATCGATGACTCAAGCTATTCATTGTTCATGTCAATGATAAATCTCATAAACTGTTCCCAGAAGGTTTTGAAGAAATGATGTACACATAATTCTTATCGAAAACCAGAAATCCTTATTTACTTACATGACATACTTAATTAATTCGTATTATCAATACAAAAACACTTTGTGCATGAATTTTACTGAGTCTATTCGGAAGCCATTGAAGTGACAGAGTCATAATGGACTCAGAAATATCACAAATTCTTGACACCACATATATATGTTTACAAAATCCAACATCTTAGATTTGAAAATCTTATTTAACATAATGGAAAGTTATTTTGGAATTGGTTTTTTTAAATTGAATGGAAATCAAATGTTTCCCATTAAAAAATGTTGAATTATTTCGTCACAACTACTGCATAATCACGTACGCGATATAAAACAATAAGAAACTTTCTTCTAGCTTCTTAACACTTCAATTACCTGCATTTCTTTACTAGGTCGCTTAGTTTCTTTAAATATAGCCTGCAAAGTTCGTCTTTGTATATCAGTAAAGACAAGACGTGGTTTTTTAGGCTGACGACTTTCTGACAATTTGATTTGTTCTGATTCTTTTCGTTTACATACTACAGGACCTGAAATATATGAAAGAAATAAAATCATTCTTAAACATCAACTGTTAGAAATAAAAATAAACGAAATATAAGAAAATAAAAAAATGAGGTTAGTATAGAGGTTTACAGGGATTACTAAATGTTAATGAGACCACGAACTAACTTAGGTTAAACATGTACACCATCAGATATCGGTCAGTTGATCTAATGGTCAAGCCTTCACCTTGAGAACTAAGGGTTCTGAGTTTAGTCTTCAGTGGGCTGCTGAAAACCTTTCCTGAGGGGTCCCGTGCTACTACTATTACTACTAGCACTTAAGCCTGTTACCACTCTCTAAGCACAGACCACCGATCAGGAATCTCTAATCAACTCTGTCCTGGTCTTTCCATTCTAATTGTTGTCAAGCGCATATAATAATGTTCGTAATGGCTTCTTCCGATTCCTAACACCGTGTGTTCTTTGATTTGGCTCTTCATTTGCCAGTCTGCATATACTTGTTCTTCCTCCCAAATCTTTCAAAAAAGAACGTGGATTGTCTTTGGAGTTACTCTATATATCTCAGTGATTCAGATGGTATTCCGTCTGATCCCACTGTTTTGCCATTCTTCAATTTTCTGGTGAACTTTCTGATTTCGATTGTTAGTGCGGTAACATTTATGGGAAGGTCTGTGTGTGCAAAATTTAAGTAAACGAAATTATTCCATAAAGAAGAAACCTAATACTTTAGTACTTGTTCAGTTTCTGTTTAACTGAGGTTATTTAATTTAATCAATAGTATAAATAATGTACACTCTTTACTTTTAGTAAGGTTAGAAAGATGTTGTTCAAACAAACAATACTGTACCATAAATAAACATTAGATGTATCAAATCTCTTTAAAAAAGTCAAACATTTATTCTTACCTGATTTATAATAAAAAATAAATGAGTTCATTATGAGACATTGATTACTTGGTATATTAATCACGATTTTATTAACTATTGTTCACTTTGATTACCAGTATTCGTCAGTGGCGATTTTAAACGTTAATTAAGTGAAAGCTCAGTCTGAAGAGCACCTACTAAGCCTTAGTATCATTTCAATTTTAAATGTGAATAGAATCAAGTCATAATAATAGAAAACTGATAATATAGAACGAATCACTAGATGACATCAAAAATCTTACCTGCGAATTCAAACGAGAAATAATATTTTCTCAAGAGATTCAGACTCAAAACCAATATAAAACAGAGAGTTATGTTCATCAAGTTATGATAAGCAAAGGTACATCATGTAGAAATTATTACTGGTTTGACGCGAAATTCAAAATGAAATAAGGGAAGCACATAGTTAGCGTACTGTTTATTCAATACAAATTCAGTCCTTTCTATGATTCATTTATTTAACCAGTGAAATAAAACAAACTGGTACTGAGTAGTTTCATGTAAAACATTGATAAAATTTTACAGTTTCTGTTTTTCCATATCAGTATTTGATTTTATTCAAATATTCTAATATGGTTAAAACCACAAAGTATAAATATACAATCAAGAAAAATATATTTATTTTACTCACCAGTATATCTCAGATCAGATTCTGCTAGACGATTCATATACAAAGATAAATAAATTGAAATAATAAAAAAATTTTGAATTAATTACAGAATTTACTGTTGTTCTTTTTAAATTTTACTAAATTCAGTATGATATACTATCAGTACTATTTATCAGTAGTGAGAAATGAACTCGTGTTTCACTGGATTTAACAAGATATGATACACTGTTTTATAAGCTAACTAACTAACTATATATATCCACTATTCACTGATCAGAATAGGGATGCACTGTGTTTCAAAATTTTTCTACATAGTTTGTAAACAAAGTCTAAAATACCATCCACTCATTAAAACTGGTAATATTCCGAGACTTGTCTAATTGAGGGATAATATATTTTATTGCGAACCATGATAAGTTAAAGTACCAGTGTTCATCAGAGATTTGTTGAATAAACTTAACTTTGCAGTCCGTGATTATTGAGTTGTTTATGATCAAAACTTATACTGTGATATAATTTCATTTCTTACGGTTTCATAACGAAAGCTTTACTGAAAAGTCAGTTAGTTTAAGTCCAGTTTTGGTTATGTTTAACTTCAGTTGTTTTGCAATATGCTTTGTCATCTTAGATTTAAGCGTTTTCATAATTCACAAACTGAGTGACCTCACGAATTTCAGTTACCTAAACTAGAATGACGTAATTACCTGGTGAAAAATAGGTCTGTCTAAGTCTAGCTGGATCAGTTCACGAGGTCACTGAATGCTGATATGAGTTGTGTAGAGAGATACATACTTCTTGGTATTAGTTTTTGATGTATTTGTAGTCTGTAATTGGTGACTAAAAGTGATGCAGATGAAAATCGTCCGTAGTTGTTCAGATAAGTACACTACTTATCTCCCAGTTCTTGAGTTCAATATTATTGCCGTTGTTCCTTATTCGAATTAGGTTTAAAGTCCTCATTAATACTATAAAATGGATTACTGTGGTCTTTATTTATTAATTTCTAGACCCTATTACGGTGTGAATTCGAACCGACATACAATTATGTCCGAATCCAACATTGTCTATGACTAACAAGTACAGCCACTTTATCCCTTAAATAGCTTTTCAGATAATCCTGAGTGGTAATTAAAACTACCTTCAGAGTATGTTGTTATAAGTTACTAGGGCAGGCCAACAGTAAACGCTGTTTTATTATCTAGAAAGAAAACTAAAGGATTACTATTTAGTTACAGTATAGTCTTTCCATTCTTAGCTAATTACTTGATATATTCAGATTTTCAAAATGAGAAATTAACTAGTCCTGACACCCATAAAAATCAGAAAACTCACCTATTGCATAGCAATTACATCTTACACAAAGTTATCAACTTGAAATTACAAACAGAACATTGATCTAGATGCTTTTTTATTCACCTGGTCTCAACTAATAAGTGCATTTTATTACCACATTTTATCTAAAACAATCATGATAATTTCAAAACACACTATATCTTACTAGTTCCTGATAAAACATGTCTCAAGGATATTCTGATGATAATTCTGAATAAATCTAATGATTAATTAGGATACTAACACTCTGTATTTTAAAAAAAATACAACCCCAATAGCCAATAACATAGAACAGTGTAGTTCTTCCATTTGTCAAAAATGCTTGACAATATTTATATAACTTTATTGTCAAATATATATGGATGCAATCTGGTTATACGTTTATTTGTATGTTGAACGTGTTGGAGATGCCAGATACTCAGAAGCCAATTGTCCTGTTGTTGTGTTGCTGACCTTCGTACCGTTTGCTGTTTTTAGATGATATTGTAATCTCTACGATCGTAGCAAACGACAACGTGATGATTTTATCCATTTCAGACACAGAAATACTAGAAACAAAGCTAGATTTCCCATCTGTTTAAACCACTATGGTATTTGGGTTTCGTATGTTGTAAATTCTACTATACCTAATATTCTACATAGACATTTTCGGTTGAAAGTGAAATTCTTTACCGATGAATAAACATAAATCATGAAAAGCTTTAAAAACCATCAAAATTATCAGATTTATTTGATAAACATCTAATCAAATAATTATCGTTTATTATGCATATTGAATACATTCCAACGCCCTAAGCTTTATTGATGTATACAACAACACAAAATACTTAAAATCAAACATTCTTATGTGTAAACTACTCTGTTCAATTTATATTACTTTATCCATTATGAAACAATAAAATTATTAAACCTCCTAATGCAACACGAAAAAAAAATTCTGAGGAAACAGCTGGGAAAGGTAGATAAATACGACTGAAATACAATGTATTTCTATTCAGTCAAGTAATACTTCAATCAACTGGGCGAGACTATTATTTATGGACGAACCAATCACGTATAAGATAACAGGTCTCGGATTTTGGCGCGAAATTCACTCATTCATCCGGATAAATAGAGTTTTGGCATTGCAGCTGATGTCAGTTCGTGGTGGAAACCACAAATCTAATTTCTAACCTTAATCATCAACTGTAAATCATAATTCTAATTCCTCACACAGGTTTATAACCCTCATTTGATCCTGGTTATTAGGTGGACAATCTCAAGGTCAGTCTGGCGCCGCCCAAAGGTCATTCATAAATTATACTCTTATGAATAATTAATATAACAAGACATTATTTCATACTACATTCTAAACATTTAATCCAGAATATTAAGAACTCTCGGTTTAATAAACTGGACGGTAATATATACAGCATATAAAGTTTGAATATCACTTAAAATTACAAGAACACTTGTATTCGTATACATGATAATGGAATTTTACAGGATCCTAAAGTTTTGTGATGACTGGAACATTTGAGGACAAAAAGAATAGTGTAAAACAAACTGACAAAAATGCATAAGTTCAATTTTCTGCACATTTTATAAGCAAAACACTGAGGTAAAATATAAAATAAGGGGGATATCCAGCTAAGTATTAAAAAACTCAGGAGGTAATGAGAGACAAACAAATTTAGAATTTAAAATTTAAAAAAAATGGAGATAAAACATTGAACGAATTTAATTAGACCACTATGATGATAAAGAGAGTTAGTATTACTAATTTTTCAAGTTGAAGAGTTTTTAGAGATTCCTCGTATCGAAGTTAAACCTCGTCATGAACTAACTTCAGTTGGAAAATCCCTGAAAATCATGAGTCACCGGATGTTATTTCGTATTAATTCTCAACTATCCAGCTATGTGGTACAATGCTGGAAATTTTTTATATAAGACTGAAAGTTTCAGTTATTCTGGGCTTTTGATAAAAATTAACTTTGATCTAATAAGTTCAACAAGTAAAAATTGGATACAAATATTTACTTTTACACATAATATTTAACAATTTCAACTGTCAAGTCAAAATTATTTGACAGCAGGGAAAAATATTTAATTCCTTTAAATCTGATACTTTTCGTCTTAAATAGTCGGTAAGATAGACTGTCTCAACGATAGAATTTAGTTGTCCGATCTTTTCTGGATTTTTAGTATTCGTGGACTGTATCAATCACGGATTGAAAACCACAGAGAACCAAATAACTGTTTCTCCCTATTATTGGACTCCTCACATTTAAAACTCTGCCAAGAATCAAATTCAAGATCTTCGGGTTTCGTAATGAACCCTTAACCATAAATATCACGAAGTTAGTGTCCTACACATATGAACTCCTGTCACGGCTTCTCACTTGACCTCAAGGAACATCTTCACTTAAGTCACTGATGTTTCCACTAGCTTGATATTATGAAGACACGAATTTCCATACTACTAAGTCACCTGTTTTTATTCCCTAAATATATTAATATACCACTAGTTTTGTTTTCAACAGACATACTCAAATTCGTTCTTTAAAGCTGTATACAACTGAAATAAAAGTTAAAAGTAATTTAAAAATCACTTCGAAGATTTATTTTGTGGTAACCTGATCTGTTGGGAAAAATGCAAACTATCTTCGAGAATAAAGCATTGGTTATTTAAGCAAATAATTACTGAATCTTTTGAGTGATATGGCATTAATAAAACAAAATACATAACCTTATAAAGTCACCTACAGTTGCGTATATAAATTTACGTGTTTGTGAGAGCAAGTACACAAGGAGTACTGAGAAGTTTTTACAGGGTTTTCAGGACATGTTCTTCTAAATATATCCATGAGAAGAAACGCCCTTATAAATATAGTCCCCAGACAGCTAATGAATATTCCATATGAAGTGGATATTTATAACGCACTCGAAACGACTAACAAACAATGGACATCACTCTTAATTTGCTTCGAACTGACTATCGACATGAAGTATTTCCGAGTTAAACTTGAGTTTACAAAAGAAAAATTTGGTGAACTTGATTGTCTTCAAACAAATTCATCAATTGCACGCCCTTACTTTTATCTATTCCCAGGTTTTTACCATCTGAGTTAATTCTATCCATTCTATGCTATTCAATTATGTAAACACTTATTTTTATTTCAAAATCTTATGATTCCACCACACCTGCTTTATCTAGTTACATTTTTCTACATGAAAATATTCATCATTCTCAATTACAATGTATAATATACATTGTGAGTGGTTCATCAAACAGACTTATGTTTCAATTTGATCGACCTTACTATTCTAAACTTTAATTCTTAACGTTGAGTTATTTACATCTTACAATCCTGTATTTCTTACTGTCCATTATTTTGTTAAAAATTATCCAGTGAATCAGATTTATGTCACAAATTTATTCATAATTTTTGAGACCATATTACTCAATCTATATTTGTCTTTTACTTTGTTTTCTATACTTGTGCTTCTTATCAATGTCATCTTTTTTGTTGTTGTTGTTGTAAATTTCATCTTTCTATCTATACAACTACAAATTATTGACAATTTGAACCTGTAAAACTTTATATAAGATTCTACTAAAATAAACTATATATATTTCCGTAATTCACAGTACATTGCTTACAATAAATAAGGCATATAAGTTCAATGTCCTAAGCATTACAATTAATTTCAAGTTAACCAGCTGGTGGTTT